TATATATATGCGCGTGTATATGCTGTAAATCTTCGGCGAGATGAAGTATACGTTGCGAAAATTTACCGGATGAATGGTTCAAATTCACGCATATAAGCCTCCAAGGTTGCAAAAAATGTCACTAAGAGAGACAAGTCGATGAGCAAACGAAAGAAGTTATCAACTGTATTATTAATAATTATCGCGTGTTTCTCATGAATCAAACGATAATCAAAAAATTAGTTCAGGATTTATTAACGTAGCTGTTTTACGAACGTGATATTTCCTCCATTTTTCTTCTCTTAAATCTCTTGTAAAAAACATACATTTATAAAATGCAACTTATAAATAAATGCATTAAAATTTTTATTAAATTCATTTGCAATAAATTTGACAAAAAGAGAGCAACGCGACAAATTTCTGCACTCTGTATACCTAGGATAAACCTCCAAGAAATACTATATTTTGAGGGCGAAATTTCATCCCTGTAGGCTTTGAAAAATTGATCACTGAAGCATACATAAATGATTTACGATGGTTTCTCAGTTTTATTCCGAGATATCTCGTGCATAAAACTCGCATGTTTACATCTACGAGTGTTCTCTGATTTGCAAGTGATATTGATGCGGTGTGATTCAGTTTGCACCTTCGTACGATCAGCTAAAATCAGATTCGAAATATATTCTGCAAAACATAATTATTCTTGCGGAAAGTCGGTGAGTCACGTAAAATATCGACGAATTATTTAATGAAGTTACGTAAATTCCTACAAAGAATAAAAAGAATAGTTTCGCTAAAATATCTAAAACTTTGGTTATAAATACAGATCTGAAAATAATTTTAATGGGCCATCAAAATAATTATGTAGGATACTCAAACATAATGAGCAATAATGTAAAAAGTTTTTTTTCTAGTATCCAATTTAAGCATTCTACATAATTATTTTGATGGACCAGCTAAATTATTTTTAGATTTATCCAACTAAAGTTTTAAATATACTTTTATAAAATTGTTCTTTCTGTGTTACTTTTAAATAAAAAAAAAAACGTTTTAATATTATAATATAGGAATAATACAATATATAATACAATTCACTATTACATTTTATATATTTATATTTAACACAATATTAATAATTATACCAATTACATGTTGCATTTCTTGATGCGTATATCTTTGGTCTTATTGTCTATTTGTTTTAATTCATGTTTTATAATTTTTGGTAAACCTTTGAATTTTGAATTAGAGATTCATAATTTCACCAAATAAATTCCTGTCAATTTCTTTCGTCAATGTTTTACATGAGAAAGTGACTCACTGTGCGGTCATGCAATCTTGCGCGAAGGTCGCTAGTACGTGAGCACTTTTAATTTGTAAGAAGACTCATAAGAGGATAATTGAAGACGATCACTTAATATATTCGTAGACACGCTGACGTGAGCATCTTGTCTAAGCAACGTGACTACATATCTGCGATGTCTTCAAAACATATAGCAATGTTACTTGTGGCAAATCTTGTCAAAACAAACCTCCTCAAGCGAAAATCTTCTATATATTCTATTTATTTATTACATTTTAATTTTTTATTCAGTTCTCTCAAATAATAATGCGTATTATAATTTGACAAAATATCAAATAATTCTTTTATACAGTTTAATATTAAAAATATTTTTCTTTCTTATAATAATCTAAATGAAAAAAGAAATGCTTTTATTTTTTAATTAATATATTTGAAATCATAAAATTTATAAAATTTATTTTATTATTATTCAATAAAATTTATTTACATAATTTTTTACTTCTTTTTCGTAAATTAATAATTATTAGAAACTAGATATTTGTTTGGAAAGTATATGTATTACCACCGTCAAAATATATAAGATAATTTTTCAATCAAATTAATGACAAAATAATCGAAACGTTCGTGCAAACTTCCTTTAACTATTCATTGGATTCGTTGGGTAACGCTGCCTATAGGCGAGCGAATTACTGTAGAACATTTGATAGCCAGGGGAAATTATCGAGTTAAAAAAGATTAAAACGACGATTCGTGCACGCACGAATCTAGAGTATGTTTGTGTTCTTGATTCCACGCAAGAGCCTGTCTGAAGCATGGTTCATCGAGAATAAAGTTCGCGACGATAACTCGGGCAAAAGGTTACTAAATAAGTAAACTGTTTCTCTTATATTCTGGGCGATAAACGTGAATGCTATGTGTTCACAGTACTTTTACACATAAACAATTTTTCTAAATGTTACGGAAATACAGATATAAAAAGCGCTGCAATGTAAAGAGCGATGAAAGAATATTTTTGTATTATTTTGAATATTGTATAATAAGCTAGAAAGAAAGAATACAATATGCTTGTTTGTATTTATTTTTAAATTATTAAATTGTCCTACAATTTCACCAAATAAAAGAAAAGGTGTTACAAACTATTTTAGAAAATAAATTATTAAATAAATGTAAAATATGTATGTATAGAAAAAATAAATATATAATAAATATATATAAGTATAATATAAAAAATTCGATTTTTACCGAAACTGAAAGAAATGAAGGTTTA